CAAAATGCAATTGAGCACGTACAGGCTGGCCTTAATTTTCTAAAGAGAGACTTGTTTGCCAGATCCTTGAAAAACCTTCAGATGAGAATACATAGCTACATGGCATTTTTATGGTCAGACTTGACTGAAGTTCATTCTTTAACAGTCCATTTATGTTGAGAAATGTCTTTATAAGCATGTTAGTCTGCTTGAGGGCTGCCGGAAAGAGAAACTTCATTACATCTCTCTTTCATTTGTAAAACTTCCTTTTTTAAAATAGAACTATCCCTGGGACCTGGGAATCTATTTCAGTATTTGACTTTTGAGGCATTTTGTAAATTTTGTTAAGGTTAACTTTTTCATAATGATTCCATTAGTAAAGAAACCCATGATTGCCTTCATATTATAAATTGTTAGATTTAAAATTTATAACAGCTATAATACAAATACATTCCATAAAATATATCATGGCTACTTTTATGTATGTTCTAATATATTTTGTTGGATTGAAGTTGCATTTATTTCTCTAAGAGAACTAGTCACTACAAAACTAGCAACCGTGCTTAAATAGCAATTGTTGAGTCCTGCTTTATTTTTAACACTTTTAATGTGGAACTAAGGACTGAGAAGTAAGGAGATATACTCATTGTTACTCAGAAGCCTTACTGGTATGGAGACATGCTGAATGATTGGACTTCCCATGTGGCTTTCCATCATGATATCCCAAGGTTGAAATAGGAGGTTATTCTGCCAAGTTGTCAAGGTTAGCAGACAAAAATCAGAATGGGTTCTACTGCCACCATGGAAACCAGCCCCTCCAACTTCAAACAACATTAAATCCCCTCTTTCATCCAGGTGGAAAGCCATATACTCACTACTTCTGCCAACCAGATAGACAGAATTGATGCCATTTGGATAAGTTCAAATCCAGCAATTCAGCATCAAATCCATAATAAAGGGTGGTATTAATAACCTGGAAAATAAAATTAAATTATTGGACCAACTATTAAAAGATAAGCTTTCATGGTTTGGAGTTTCAGAGGTCTTTCTTTTCTATGTAATGCGCAGAATGTATATGAGTATTCTTGTTTTCTGTGTATAACAAAATTCACAAAACAAATGATTTTTTTTCAATATCATGCGTTCTTGTTAAGATGTCTGCTTCCTTTATTGTCTATCTAACAGCAATCGCTCTCTTCCTTTCCTTTTTATTTACTTGGATGGAAGCAAAATGAACAGTAGTTTTCCTCACTGCTGCTGAACACTTGTTATACAATTTAATATTATAATTTTATATGTAATGTGGACATATTTCTCAAATGCCAAGAAAGGTTAGAATCTCAGATGTTTTGTTGGTAGCACTTGGAGGATCAAAATGACATGAACTGGTTTGTGTAGTAAAATGGTTCATTCATCATCTAAATTTGGGTATTAATTGACAGAGCACTTTCCGTAATTCTAGGAGATTTATTTTTTCTTTCGTAGAGCCAGATGCATATTATTTTGTATCTTGATAAACCACAGCCAGACAATGTCACATCTGGTTTCTAGCTAATACTGAATTTTAAGAGAAAGAGTAAAAAGTACCTGAATTTTCTTAAGGCAACTTCTTAGACTTAATTTTATCTGAAGTATCTTTTGTACAAAAAAATACTTTCTAATAAAATGTAATGATGTGCATATTGTTGGAGGAGATGCTTTTATGAGATTTGACTCTGTGCTACTATATTTTATGAGAAACAGACAAAGGGCTTCCTAGACAGATATGATTGCTCACTCAAGCATTCACATGTTAGGTCTGTGATATTTAATGATTATTTTTGATATCCTTATGAAAACTAGTAAGCTGAAGCACCAACTAAACAACTGAACACATCATTTAAAAATTACATTACTTCAGAGCATTCCCCTTTATTCAAAAGTATTCATCTGACTCTTCCACTTACCTATTATCTTGAAGATTATTCCAAAGGGTAAAAGATTAAGATTTTTTTCCCATGATGATCAATACTTACCTTGGAAATGTTATATACACTGGGGCATTCCACTTCATATTTATTCACATTTCAATAATTCCTGTTCCAAAATGCCTTCTTCCTCTCCCATGTAAATAAGCATTCCATTGTCAAGTTTTTTCCTAGCAGATCTATATTCAGAATTTCATAGTATTCAGGTCTCAAATAATATCCTGATTTTTATCTGATTATAAGGCCTAAGAGCAACCATGGACCAGCAACAATTTTTTTTCTCAAAAAAAAACAAAAAAAAACAAAAAACATTGATCAATGTTCCAAGGTCAAATGTCCTACTTCAACCACAGGAAAATATGATACTTGATTCCATAGTATTCAGAATACACGGGGAAGTAATTAAGCCATATCAGGGTGTATGTGTGTGAGCTATGCCAAATCCTCTTAGTACTTTACCAATGCAAATATCTAGAAATGTTCAAAAGAATTGAGAAGATTGAGGTCATAGCCAGGTATCAAATGATATAGAGAAAAAGTTGGCAAATCTTCTTTTAAAGCATCCTTGGTGAATATTCCCAAAGCAAACTGCATACCTTTAGTAGGATATATATCTATAATAATAAAAGCATAATATGCTAATTAGACCGAACAGCCGAATGACCTTCCAGACATCCTTCCGGATAACCTTCCAGATGAAGCTGGGGCTGCGAGGGCTGAGCCCCTTACACAAATTTTGTGCACCAGGCCTCTAGTATGTGTATAACAATTATTATTATATTACCTTAATTTGGTTAATTATAAATGGCATATTTTAAGTGCATTAAGTATTAAACAATACTGCCAACTTGGTTGCCTATGTATAGAGTAAAAAGAGCAGTCAACATAGAATTGTTTTACTGTAAGGATATACCAGATGTATAAATAGTCACAGTATAGTGTGTGATTGTCTGGATCCATCAGTGCAGCTTCTGTACTGAGGGGCCAAAAGCCAAGTACGTTATGTGGAGCAAATATAGATATTGCTAATAATAAACATCTAGATTTCAGTGTCCTTTAAATCATACATTTACAGCACTTCACCCTTCAACCCCCAACCTGCATGAGAACCTTTTGTCAAATGTGTGTCTATATTCACTGTGGAAGTCAAGTTTGGCGTAACCAATCTTTTATCCATATATATGTATTTTTTTTCTAAAATGTATTAAATAGGGCAAACATAATCTCCTATAGGACTTAATTGTATGCTTCATTTTCTTACCTAAATTTTTAGCTCAAGTTCACCTTTCATTCTATTCAGTAGGATTTACCTAACTGTTCAGCCAACCCCTCACAGAAAGGAGAATTGCATGCTGGGTCTAACTCCATAGGAATTATAAACTCAAGATGAAAGAAGGATTAGAGTCAGCAGAGACAGAGCTCCTTAAGAACAAAGCAAGTAGAGAAGGCAGGATTTTTTCCCCTCTTGACTTATGCCACTCTTCTTTATACTAGCACATGCTTGAAATTCCTTGGTGTGTTGTTTGTTTGTTTTGTATATGGGAATATATTAAGTACATCTGATACTGAAAAGCTTGATAAATGGCCGCAAAAATGTTTTCCTTTTTTCCCCAAGTCTTCTCCACAGCAAAGTGAATGAGAATCATTTTCCTAACATGGAAGGCAGGGAATAAGGGAGTAAAAGCCTGAAAGAGAAGTGGTGATGAAAACATAGAGGCAAGACCCTTGTGTGATCGCATTCATTTGCTATCCATTCCTTCTAGTTCCCTGACCTACTTTGCTAGTAATGATTGGTTTTTCACATGTGGACATCACAAAACCCTGGTGTGAGGTCCAACCTGCAGAGTTAAGTGTGGGGATCAAAGCAGCTCATCCATTAGAAGCTGAAGTTTGCTCTAGCTTGGCCAACTCTTGTTTCACCAAAGGGGAGGCAGGTTTTAAGGGTCACTAATAAGAGGTGTAGATTTTCACTTTGCTTCACAAAAAGGCAAAAGTCATACACATATTATATGAAAATATCAGGAGAGTGTCACAGTGCCTGTAACCCCCAAGTCACTCTTTTATTTGGAAGTCAGTGTATGTTCTCATACCGAAACTTTCTCCAGTTCCTTCAAGTACCTTTAGCAGGTTATCATTGTATTAGCATTGCTATCTCTTGGTATGAATCCAGTCATTCATAACAAGTTCCTTACGTGTACTTTTTTAAACTCTGTAATCTGCATTTGGAAAAAGAGGCAGCTCTTCCAGAAGGATGGAAGAAACCATGAATCAAGAGGTTTCTGTAATAACATTAACCTGATATTTTGAAACACCAGGGTCACAATTTGCAATCTTTCATGTAACAGTAAAACTAGAGCTGTCCCCCAATAATGAACTGATATTTCTTTAATCATATATCACACAGACAGTGATTGACTCAAGGGCATGAATCAGGTCTTGTCAATTGTGTGTCCACGCTAAAAACAATGTTTAACACATGGTAGGTCTTTAATAATTATTGTTAAATGAAACTTAATTTGTTGACACTCAGCACCAAAAATGATTTTTCAACTTGGATAACTTAGAATACCTTTGCATTCAGACGTCATACTCTGCCTAGCCGGCAGAATTTTATGAGATGGTAAAGAAAGTATACTAAAACTTTCTTCCAAGTGAAATTGAATTTACTTCACAAAATCATGATTTTTAATCTGAGCATTTAAAAAGGGTGAACCCTAATGCGAGGAAAAAATACCACAGCATACTTGAATATATAGATCCAAAACTCAAGTCAACCTAATGAGACAGGACCCCATGGTGTTTGATGCTGTGACTGAAAAATAATGTATTTTCTTTCTCAGAAAGTAGAAAATTGAATTACCTTTAAGTTTCTTACATTTGAGCCATACTACAAATGAGCTGTGTCCAGGTACAGAAAAACCAACAATATTTTTATTTATAATCTTATTTTTAGCGTTTGAACTACAAATTCTGGTTCTAGAGTTGTTGAAAAGATCATGGGTTTTATAGGTGCTCATATGTAAATTAATCTGTTGTTTGCTTACTTTTTTTTTCTTTTTTCCTTTTCCACTGATGGTCCTCCTCATAAATACAGAACAGGTCATTACATGAAAAATATAAGATCTTGCATTATTTTTCTCGTTCTCTCTTAAAAATCTATTTCTAATATTGCATTCCCCATTGGACTACTTCATGAGGGCATGAGGGGGAAAATAAAAGAGGAAAAAAAAAAAGAAAGACAAAAATAGACTGGATCTCACCACTAGAATTCACCATAAAAATCTCAAAGTGTAACAGAATTCTTACAAAATTTCCTAGACCAGTTCCTTAGGGAATTGAGATCTATGAAAAATATGGCAATCAGGGAAGGCAGGGACAAGATATGCGAAAATAGGAAATAAGTGCAGCAAAAACAGGTTCTGAGGAATACACATAGTTTTGTCTGCTTTAGATCACAATAGAATTTTTAATAAATAAATTTCTTTTCTTTTTTGTATTTTTTTTGTAAAGACACTTTTTTTTGAAACAGTAGATTTAGCCCAGTCATTTGTGTCATTATTAATAAACTGTCCTTTTTTTTAATTGTTTGTTTTCTGTAGCCATAAATGTTTTAGATCTGAGTCTCTTGTACATTGTCTTTCGAGTTCATTCGGATCAATAACGGTTCATGCACTGAACTGTGTATTGAATTTATTGTGTTAACTGTTGTTGTGTGGTTGAAGGGAGATTTGTAAGAGTTATAGTGATTGAGGTGCTCATGCTCGATAGCAGGCATGGGCAGGTGGCTTTCCATGGGAGTGTCTCCTGTAATCTCATCATCCACATTAATGATTTCAACAGTCCTTGTGGGGGCGTGATGGTTTTGCCTATGGTGCTGCTTCCTCATCTTGTAGAAAATGACCAGCATCACTGCAGCCATGAGTGTGATGGCCACAAAACAGCCAATGATGATTTTGGTAGTCTTCATGACCTCATCAATTCCTGGGATCCCACTGTTCAGATCAGTCACTGGGATGGTGAATGCTTTTTCTGTTGACCTTGTGCTCTGTGGCATGAGAGAGGTGGTCACATTGGTGGTTTCCCAGTCAATCGCTGGAGTGGGACCTACATTGTTGTCTGTGGTCCGTGCCTCATCCTGAGAAGGTTCCATAGTCTCTACTGTGACAGTTGAAAAGTAAGTAAAAGGAGTGGTGGTTGCTGCAGTAACATTCAGGGTGGCTGAAGCAGTGGTATTTCCAACAGAATTGCTCACCATACATGTGTACATGCCTGTATCTTGCACAGTTACATTCGTGAAATTTAACGTGCCATCGCTGAGCACAGCTATCCTCACTTTGTATGCCCCGTGTGTCATAACTGTTCCATTTGGAGTGATCCAAGATACGGAGGTCAGGGATGTGGAGGCCCGGCATTTTAGCTCAGCTGCCATGCCTTCAGTGACATTGAGGTCTGCTGGGGGCTCCACAATCACAGGAGCATAACATGTGAAATAATTCTGGTCGAGCTCCCCAATGTACCTCCCTTTCAGATTGGGAGGAGTGTTACATCGGGCACAACAAGCTGTGTTGGAGGGGGCCATGTCTTTTATCCACCAGCTGAGCCAAAGTATGTCACAGTTACAATTCCAAGGGTTGTGGTGTAAGTGAATCCGCTCTAGATGATGCAAGGGTGTGAAGAGGTCATGAGGCAGTAACGTTAGATTGTTGTGCGCCAGGTTGATTTCCACCAGTGACTGAAGGTTATCAAAGGCATTCCGTTCAATCACTTGAATCTGGGACTGTATCATCCACAGTTTTTGAAGGTGCATCAACCCCTGGAAAGAGCCCGGCCTGATAGCAGACAAATGATTCCCAGAAAGGTCTAGCTCATCTAGTTTTATGAGCGGTGTGAGGTTAGGGATTTCCCGGAGGTTACACATGGCCAGGTTCAAATACCTCAAGTTGGACAGACCTTCAAAGGCACCTTCTGAGATGTATGAAAGCCTTTTCAATTCGCCTAAGTCTAGCCGGCGCAAAGAAGGGATTCTGTTAAAAGCATAAGAAGGGATGCTTTCGATGGGGTTGTTTCGCAACCAGAGCTCCTTCAGTTTAGACAAATATACAAAAGCTCCATTAGGGATGGTAGTAAGACGATTGTCAAAGAGTTCCAGAGTGTTGAGGTTCGCCAGACCATTGAAGGCCCCGATTTCAATGGTTCTAATGTGATTCCTACTCAACTGTAGGATTTCCAGGTGCCTCAAGTGCTTGAAGCTGTTCACTTTGATGATCTGGATTTGGTTCTCATGGAGGTTCAGCAGTCGAGTGTTCGTGGAAATTCCATCTGGAACCTCGCGTAGGTTTTTCCGAACACAAATCACCTTGCTGAACTGGTTGCTGCAGGAGCAGACGGAGGGGCAGGTTTGAGCCCGCACCAGACCAGCCACCACGAGAAGTTGAAGAGCCAGCAGCACCACAAGCAGGGGGTCAAATAAGGCCCTGTTAAACCTAGGACCTATCATTATCTGCTGTGGATGTAAGGTCATCTTGTTCAACATTCATAATTTATCTGGTGTTGGTCCTTCTGGAGCTCAAATGGTCTGCAATACAATAAGAACAAAAAAAGAGGGTTAGATCTCTTCCAACATGTCTTTCTGGAACAATGCCAGTGATACAGCGTATCAGCCATCATTTCTCAGACTAGGAAAACAACAAATTTAATATCCTTTATTGAGTAATGAGTCTCATATTTTTAGAAAAATGTTTCTGCACTTCAAATTAGCAGCCATCTACAGTCCCTATTCCATCAGCTATGCAATCACAAAGAAATGGAAGAATGAAGCGGAGGAACTTAATAGAGTGATAACCAATCAGTGTGAGCCGAATGCATGAGGACATATGAGGTGTACTCCACCATTCGATTTACTGTCTGATCAAATTGGAAAAGTTAAGAAAATAGAATTTGGGAGCTATACCCACAAATCTAATAGATCCCTTGCAAATTAGTAATAGCTGACATTTTATTTGGGGTTACTCTATGTGCCAGGCACCCCGGGCTATAGACCTCACAAACAATCCTATCCAGGAAAGGCTACATACTTTGCAGAGCTCAATATAAAATGAAAATGTGGGATGTCTTGTTAATAATTATTAAGCATTTCAAATCCATAACAACTGAGCATGAAGCTAAGTGTAGACCCTTCTGAGAATGGGGCCCTTTGCAATTACACAGTTTGCCTGCCTGATCCTTTCCAAACCTGCATTCCTCTGATTTAGGAACTGTTATATTCTCCATTTTCAGGATGAATAAGTTTATCATAGAAATAACATGAATGCATTCACATAGTAATTACAGAGCCAAGGCTAAGATGTTCCTCTGATTGGTCCAGAAGCATATGATTTCAAATACTCCACAAAAAGGTTGCTGTGAGAATGAAGGTGATTATACATATATATATATATATATTCATGTCTTTAAAATACTTTTCCTTTGGGTGACCTCCACTGTAAACACTGGCAACTTACCTTATGGACCCTGTGAAAATCCACTGAAATAGTAATGTGCACAACTGTACACGAACTTCTAGAGATTCTCATATACAAAAACTCATAACATGGCCTACTGCTATCTATAGGTAGACATACCACAAATTAAATCATTTTCCATAAAGCATAATGTCTATTTATAGAAAAGATTTTAGTATAACAGAAGTACTACATGTCTTTTATCCCTTCTCTTTTAAGTAGATTTTAAGAGAAATAAAATAACTCACTTTCTGCAGTTCTTCCAGCACAAGGAATCATTCTCAAGGAACCTATGTTACCCAGTATATGGCCCACTCCACTGGAATACCAGGTATTGGGCACCTGTGTAATGACTTCTCCCAAATATCTTACCTCAATAAACAGTGACCATTCTATGAATTTCTTTGACTGAAAAAAAAAAATGGGGGGAGGGGGATGGTACCAGGAAATGACCATATTCTTATTTAAAAAGGCACTAATTTAGTATTTATGTCGTGTTTACTTGGGGAAGTTAAATTTTATCCTTTCCATGGTTCAATCTCCTCACTTGCAAAATGCAAATGTTCAATTCCCCTTATTGTTGTTGTGAGGACAAAATTAGTTAATGTAGATAAAGGGTTTAGAACAATGCCTCCCACATTGTAAGAACTCAGTAAACGTTAGACATTATTGTTATTATTATTACTGTTTTTGTTGTTGCCCTTAGCCAGGCATTTTACTAACTACTGGGCATATAAAATAGAAGAATATAAACCCTACCCCTGAGCAAATTAAAATTCAAAAGGTGAAATACAGACAAACTGAGGAAGTGAAATAATAAACATTTGCTGTATGTTTTTGAGACCAGGCTGCATTTTTACAAAGGCACTGATGGCAGAGCAACTCAATTTGCACGGACAAATTAGGAATTTTCAAAGGGAAGGGTTATCTGATCTGTTTTGTAGAAGAAGTAGAGCATTTCAGGCCGAGAGACCAGCCTAAGTCAAGACAAGGACACATGAAAGCTACTAGTCCATCCAGGGAACAGTGACAAGTTCCCTGCGGCAAGAGAATGGAAAAGCCTGGGGAGCAGAATGGGACAGAAGCTGGGGTGAGATCAGGTCCAGACTGTCAAGAGTCATAACACACTTAGGAATCCCTGTTTCATCCTGCAGGTGACATGCTGGATTTTTAGAAGGGAATCCTATCATCAGCTTTGTTTTTAAGAACAGCTAAAAAGATCTTATTGTTCCAAGTGAGTCTTGGAGAGAAGTCAATGCCAGAGATGGGCCCAGTTTATTGGCCATCACTTCCCTGCCCACCACTCAAGGGCTTGAGGTGAGGAGGTGCAAAGGGCTGGCTCTTCTGCTGGTGGGGAGGTTCTCAGTGTGAATTAGCATTTGTAAATAGCTGCATTTTCATAGAGCACACAAGGTGGAGAAGAGGCCCTCCCCCGACCCCCCAATAATAGGAGATGCCTTACTCAGAAAAGGCAACTGTTATTAGCAATTCTTAAATATATATCCACATTTACAAAACCACTGAAAGGGACCAGAGTCTCAAGAAGGTGAAGTTTAAAGTCATAAGTTGCTTTTTGGCTTCAGAGGCTTGTTGATGTCTCCTTCATTATGGCAGCAAAGAAAGTTGACTGATGGGTTCTGAGTTAGTATTTCTTTTCATGGGCTTCCCAGGCAGAACAACGTGGGTCCTTCCATCCTTTCTCTGGGCTATTGGGGCTCTCAGTTGACTTTTCACGCCATTCCGTACTATGATCCTTTGTTCCTGGGTCTGTTTCCTGCCCTAGCTTGTGAACTTGGTGAGGTCAGAGGTCATGTCTGATGGCCTCTTCTTAGCCTGTTGCCAACACAGTACCTGGCTTGCTGTCCGCACTAAATAAAATGACTGATGAAATTGTGCAAACAGTTAATATCTAATGACAAGTCTTTGCATATGTGTAAGTGATATATACTAATGTGTCATTCATGTCTGCAAACCAACCTATCTGAACCCCCTATGTCCTTTATTGGGTTCTCACATGACTCTTAGATTCAGGCCAATAATATCCCTGTGTCCTAATCATTCTAGGGCTAGATATCCCTTTGTCCAGTATCCCCTGAGATGACCATACTAGCCCATCCAAGCCTATTTACCTTGCCTTCTCTCACAAAGCACAACAAAGGCTCTTGCTCCACATTTTCCCCTTGCTCCTTCTACCTCCTGACCAACCCCGGTGTTTCCCTGTGTGGCATGGCAGGGTCTCTTCGCTTGGGAACTGTCGGTAAACAAATAAACAAACTTTTTTTTTTAATGGTCCTTGTCTCCTGATCTGTTTGTTGGCCTCACCAAACCTGAATAATAATAAAATCTACATTTTAGAACAACTAATTGCTATATATCAGAGACCCACTCATAATATTAATCCTTTGATGGCTTTATAAGTATTAATGTAGTTGGTAGATTTCATTCCATGAGTCAGATCCTATGTGGTAAATTTAAAAATGACCTTAAAAACCCTTTCAGATTTACATTTTAAATAGAATCCTATTGACATTTCCACTAATCATGACCATCAAAGATTTTTCATTTGTGTGACTTGCTGTAGTTTTAGATGTGTTCCCCTTTCCCCAACACACACTTCTTAAGGCAATTGGGAATTTAAAAAGAAAAGAAAAGAAAAGGAAAGAAAAGAAAAGAAAAGAAAAGAAAAGAAAAGAAAAGAAAAGAAAAGAAAAGAAAAGAAAAACATATAAAATCCCTAATACATTAACTGATTGATGTTTTTAGGAGTAGGGACCCCAGGCCTTGCCCCTCCATTTCTATGCCCACCTCCCATCCCATGACTTTCCTTAGAATCTTAGGGTCTCTGATAACACAGGGTGATAGAACTGGTTGACTGGAAATGGCACAGAAGTGAAGAAGATAAGTCCTTATTCTGCCATTTGCTACGTTTTTTTCTCTTTAAAATATGAAACAGCAAAAACAATTATGTCCAGTGACCAAGAAAGAAGGCTCTGGTGAGACTTTCTGATTCCTTAGGCCTGCTTGAAACTCCAGGACCTTATATTGAGAAGACTCACCTGTCCATACTTCACTTTCCCCATCTGGGAAAGGTGAACAACAGTGTTATGCATTCAAAAGGCTTTTGTTAGGGCTGTCACATAATATATGTAACATTACTGGCTCATAATAAGCAATATATAATAAATATTTAATATATATTAAAAAATAAAATGATGGGAATCAGTTTCTTCTCATATAAGACAGGAGTTACAACAATATTTATCATTTGTGTGGTGTGGATTAACTGGTATGATCAGAAACATGCTATCAATAAAACATGCAAACATGATATTACTATTCATTACAGGGTAGATATGCCTGTCCTCTTTTCATCCCCAGGCTGTTCTATTTTTTTACTTCTTGCTATAAAATGATGGGAATCAGTTTCTTCTCATATAAGACAGGAGTTACAACAATATTTATCATTTGTGTGGTGTGGATTAACTGGTATGATCAGAAACATGCTATCAATAAAACATGCAAACATGATATTACTATTCATTACAGGGTAGATATGCCTGTCCTCTTTTCATCCCCAGGCTGTTCTATTTTTTTACTTCTTGCTTACTTCAAGGTCTTTTTTTCCTATTGCAATTAATAAGATTTTCCATAAATCAGTCATAAGTAATGATTCAAAGCTGATTTATAACCTACAGCAAACAATGCTTAGTACAGTCATTGAATCAAATAAACTACTATCAACAAAATGTTTTCTACTTTAAAATCTAAATTATTTTACTTTACATAAAAATCCACATTTCCACATCTCTTTCATAAGATGTTTTTATCACATCAAAAGGAAATCAATTTAAAGGTACGCACTGCACTATCCATTACGATGTCATCTGCCAGCATTTATTTACAAATGGATCTGCATGGGTTTTAAATTAAACTATAATACTTTTAGCCTGGTCCCAGAGGAGAGCTTGACTTTGTCAACAGACCTTTCTTTTTTCTCTACCCCGTGCTTCACTGCACCGAGACACACAGGAGGAACTGAATGCCGGAGAGTAGCTAACGGGGAGGCCTTATTTAG